GTAGCATGAAAGAGACAGGGGATCAGCATGAAACATTCAGGGTATTAATTAAGGGGTAGGTATGTTTACATTTGAATGGTCAGATAAAATAAACTCTGAAGTTTTCTCATAATACTAAAATTTTGTCTTGAAAGAAAAAGTTAAAAATACTTTTAAGCTTATGTAACTATGCTTTTCAATTAGGTGACTTTGTAGCTACATTTATAACCTTGATTCACATTCCTTGTACTAAAGTACATAATCTTGGGCTATTGAAACAATCCCTTTGATTGCATGTGTTCCCATGTAAAAAGGAACTGCATTCACTCAAATATTGCTTTTGTAGGTTATTTCTAATCACCAATTAGAATTCATATAGGAAGGCAAAAAATTAAAGGTTATAAAACATAAAGATACCAAAAAGCTACAGAGACAGGTAACACTTTTCAAAGTATCTAACAATTTTTCAGGGGAAAAAGGTCCATAACTCCTGGAGAATTTGTGTGTGGCTATTTTTAAAGTGAACTTCTTTCAATAAGCTTAAAAAAAAAAAAAAGGAAACAAGAAAGCCAACACACACATATATCTTTGGTAAGGTCATATGCATGCATAATAAACACATAATAGATACTGTTAAAATACTTTCTACATAAACTGAAAACTCATCATTTGATAATGTACAAAATAAGTTTCTTTACCTTGATGCTTCTTTAATGACATTTTGTAAAAATATTAGTCTTGTTTGTAAACTGCCTTGCACATGCTTCAGTAAAGTGAAGATTCTTTCATATTCTTAAAACAAAAGAAGCAAAAAAATTTAAAGTTAAGTTACTTTCATTTGTATTCTTATGCAAAATTTTTTCTCCTGCAATTTTTATACTGAGATGTACCGACACATTCTTTACAAATTTCATCACTCTTTAATTTTTTTTTTTCAGTACTGAGGTTTGAACTCAGGGCCTACACCCTGAGCCACACCACCAGCCCTTTTTTGTGATAAGCTTTCAAGATAAGGTCTTACTATTTGCCTGGGCTGACTTCAAACTGTAATCCTCCTGATCTCTGGCCTCCTGAGTAGCTAAGATTATAGGCGTGAGCCACTAGCACCCAGCTTTTAAAGATTTTTATGTCACATTTTAACATTTATGTGAAAGGAAACATGTATCAACAATGATTAAACAACCTAACACTGCTGTTTGGTAAAAGTTCCCATTAAGGTATCACTAAAGCTTAGGATGAATAAAGAGTTTTAAGACAGTGCTGCTGAAAAGTGAGGCAAATGGCCTTTACAAAATCCCATCTTTATAATTTAAATTCTTAAGTAAAAGTAACATGGGTGGAAGGGAAGTGTAAGGGAAAAAACAGATCAGGGTGCTATTTCAATTTCACATACAGCTCTGCCAAGGACTATTATGCTCCTAAATGCCAAGGACTGACTCTTTTACCTACTTCAGACCCACTCACAGGTCACTGTACCATCACAGCAGGTGATCTGTTAGCATTTTATGAAAAAATGCCAGTAAGACTCAAAATTTTTTTACCTACAAAATTCTTTCGTATTCATGATAGATTTCTTAACTTTACTTTTTTGTACTAAATGTACCCCTGGTAATTACCATAGTTAAAAGTTTTAACATGATGGTAGGCACTGTGTGATAAGAACTTCAGAGACATGCAGTTATTTAGTATCACTACATCTTTTGGGGCTAGTTGTTAAGATTTCAGCTGCTGGCTAGAAGAACAGTCAGGACTCTGGGTCCTTGTCACGGTAGTTACATGTACCTTAACAATGTAGTCTCCTTCAGCTCTCAATCCTTGGCTGCCTACCATACCCTGGACATAGCAGATAAATCATTGCTTGTCACACAAAGAATCAGATCTTACATACGTCAGATATTGTTCAATACTGATCTAGAATCAGAGCTACACTTTTGGTTAAAAGTCAGATGACATTTTTTTAAGCATACATGGAAATTAAATCTGAGGTTTGTCTCTAATTATACATACTTCTTCCTGGTTTCCGGATCTCTTTCATTATTTGTGCTTTTAGTTCAGTATTGACTTCTTCATGGCTTCTGCAATGCATCAATTTCTTTCCTTTGTTGAGTGAAGATGCTGGTATATTCTCTTCAGCACACTGTTCTTTATTTCTTTGCTCCTCATGATTTTCTAAAAACCCACCAACACTGAGGTCATTAGTTCCTAAATGGTCATGACCAAGAGCTTCTGTATGATTGGCTGGTCGTTCCAGTAGATTGGCTGGAGATGGTGAAAATTCAGTATCCATAGCATTTGGTGTAATGTCTGAAGAGAGTTGGTCTGCAACATGATTTTCAACCACATCATCTATTGTTGAATCACTGGCAGTTTCTGAAACTGAAGGGCGGGGAGGGGGGGTTGAGAACCAATAGTATCAAAGCACACAAAAAAGAAAGCTACAAAAAAACATCATTAGAGCAAACCTCAACTGAATTCCTTGACTAGTGCATATTAATGAATAATGTGGTATGGTTCTTAAAGGTTCACCAAAGACATGATAGATTTCAATATGAAGCATTCACAATCTTTACAAAATCTGTACAATTTTTGCCCGTGGGAAAAAAATTTAAAACAAAACCAATTTCAACCAGTTTTTAGTTGGCTACTTTAAATCTATGTAAATAAAAAGATTTCAATAGCTTAGTGAAACGTGATCAAAACCGCCATCAACACCTTTACCTTAGAGAGTCATAGCTCATTCCAACCTACCTCTGCCTTATACATTTATTATCATAGAAATATAAGTAAACACTGATGGTTTATTTTGTTCCAAATTCTGCTGGGAATATACTATTAACAGGTCATACTTCACAGTACATGCTCTTCTTATGACAAGCATCCATCTAGTCCTCATGAACTGAGCAATGAAAAACAATCTGGTGCCCACTCTAGCTCATTAGACCAGTACAAATCAAAGTTTGCCACTAAACACCAGATTACGAGACTTGTTCCCCACAAAAAGTAGGTGAATTTTAATTTCTGATTACTCATTAACCTCTCTCATCTTCCTTGCCCCAGATTTCCCCATGCTCCCTTGTACATTCATCCCCACAAATCCCGTGATCCGACTCCCTTCAAAATCCTATCTCATGCTTTGCTGCAAACACCTCTTTACTTCACAACAATTTATGCCTTGATGAAAAACTAGCTTTCCTATAAAGAAACTATTCTTGTTTTCAGACCTGGAGTAGAAATTGCTTTCTTCCACATATTCTCCACAGGGTTAAAATGAGGACATGGAGTCAATGATTCCTTCACCTCCTAGTGTAATTTCAAGATTCCTCCTATGAAACTCTTGTTAAAAACAAACAAACAAACAAAAACTCTTACTCTTTTGAGGCTCAACGTTCCCAAGCTACCCTTTCTCGCTTCATCACCATCTTAACTGAACACAGGGCACATGCCTGTAGCCACTGATATCTGTGGTATCTGGTTCACAGCTCATTCCTAACTCCTCCTAACATCATTCTAGGTCGTTACTACTCAAAGAATGGTCTGTGGAAAAGTGACACTAGCTCCATCAGAGAGCTTCTTAGAAATGTTCTTGAGCTCCACTTCAGACTTGAATGAGTTTAACTAGACCCCCAGGCAATACACATGCATGTTAAAGTTTGAGAAATGCTGTGGTGACCAACGTCTAAGAAGATCACCTATCAAGAACCTGGCCATGCCAGTTTCCAATGTCTTCTCCAAAGAACTTACCATTTATGCTTTTGCCTCTTCCATCCAACACAAATTCAAGGATTTAGGGGCATAAACCTCATCTTTGCAGTTCTCCTGATACTGGTCCTTACCACAGCCAGACTTTTACTCCAGGAACATCTCTACCTTCTTCCTCTTATTAATCAGACTCCTAACTTGATAGCCACTTTATCTATCAGGCTTATTCCTCAAAATAGCTCACTTTTTAATGTCTTAATTATCTAGCTCTGCTGTCCTCATATGGCATCTGCCAGGCAAAACTAGATTTCATTACTTGCCCTTTCGGTTCCAGATCTTCATTTGGAATTATGGAAACTAGTGGAGAAATAGGACCCAGCTCTACAGAGTGGTCACCATCACCATCAGTACTTGGGTCCTCAGTACTGCCTAGCAATCTTACCACACAACCCCGTCTTACCATCCCATGGAGATTATTCAAACTTCCTCCACTCTCCTCAAATTTGACTTCTCAATCTTCCCTTCTCTCTCGGTAATATACCTTTTTTTCTTTTCGTCCTGCAGTTTCCCTTGGTAAGATTGTATTTCACTCTAATGCCAATAGTAAGTTGCCTCCCATACTTATGCCTGCACATCAAACTCAAAATATTCACCTTAGGATGTCTACTTGGCTATCTAATATGTACCTGTAAACAAAACTCACACTTCATATCTTCTTCTAGCCCACTCAGTACCTCATAACACAGAAAGCCTGATTGATTCTTCCTTTGCCCTGACTCCAGTATTCAGTAAGTCACCAAGTCCTTTACTTATATGTCCAGATATTTCTCAAGCACATGTTCTTTTCACAACCCCATGGTCAGGTCACAATCATCTCTTCCTTTGGGGTTCCTAACTGGTCCCTGTAATACACTACAGTTATTAAACATCAAAGATCCAGGTGGTGTCTACATTCTCCAGGTATCTTACACATACTGTTTATAGAAAAGTTTGATTTGCGGTCAAAATGAGGCCTGTATATGGCAAGTGGTTTATGCCTTTTAACTAACTTTTAATCTATAAAATCCTCTATACCTCTCTTTTCATTTTAGTTTAAAAGTATTGTACATTTCATTGTGATAATTCCATATATGTATACAGTAGACCTTGAACAGTTTATCTCTTTTTTCACTAAGCATCTTAAAACAAAACATAACACCACAATAGGTTTTTGTTGTTGTTCTGTAGTGTCCTACAATCTGGATCTTGTTGATTGTATCTCTGTTTTATCATTTAACATGCTTCTCTGTCTTTTCCTATGAATTGATAGATGTGGAGGCTTGATCAAATTGACATTCAATTTGAGTGGGAGGGGTGAAGGCCATCTCAGAGGGAGTATTATATAACTCAATTATTAGGTGGCATACAGTATTTGGTTTCCCTACATTCACTTTTGATTCTCCCTGATAATAATTCCACAGCTTGGTCCTTATAAGTGCTAATTAGATTAGTTTACCACCTCTTTCAAACCTTTCAATGGATTCTCACTGTCTTAGTATAAAGTGGAGAATCTTTACAGTAGTCCAAGGCCATCCAAGATTTGGTTCTCACTATCTTTCAGTTCTCACCTTACCCCATTCTCTATACCCTTGCTATATTAAATTCTTTTAGTGCCCTTAATGCCCTTCTGTTTATATCATTACACATGCTCTTCTAAGACTACTGTTGTAGGATAGGAAATGCCATTTTAATTAACTAATTTCCATTCAGCCTTCAACATAACTTCCTGAGAAAAAGTGCTGTGACCTCATAAACTAAGTTTAATCTCATGCCAAATGCTTCTACCAATATACCAATTCTATCTATTTTATAACACTGATCATACTTCTAAGTATCTATTCATTGACTTTCTTTCCTTATTATGAGGACAAGAGATCACTACTGTCTTGCTTACTGCCTAGCACTGTCCAAAATACTATGTTTTTAATAATGAGTTGTTGAATTTTATTGAAATTGAAAGCCATCTTTCTGTTAGGAGTGATAAAGTTCCTTTCAAAACCATTATTTTGAAATGTCTGTGATTTGTAATACTATTTTAGAGCATGACAACTAATAAAGTATCATGACTACATGTTCAACAAACATTCATTAAAAAGACATATGCCAATTTACAATAAGCCCAGTGGACTCCATTGATCAGTATTTTTCTATAGTCTATTATAAAAATCTCTTCTTTCAGGAGGAACCAAAAAGCAACCAATAATATTTTTAAAAACCTCAGAACTCCTACCTTTGTGAAGTGGAAGGGGTTTAATAAGATCTGGCTGTGCTTGAGTCATAGGTGCAGGTGGTCCCTTTCCTCCAATGTGATTGTTTACCACAGGGTTCTGCTGTCTGCCTCTTAGTAGTGGAGACATACACCGACGTCTTTTAGGGATCCCCTGCATATTTGGTTCTCCAGGTCGTTTATGTTTATTTTGAGGCCCAGCTACAAATTCATCTGCTTCATCTATCATCATCCCCTATAACAAAAAAGAATATAATTTTGTTGTATTTACATGTAACTTTTAAAATTTTTTAAATGTTTATCATTTACTTTGACAAATGACTGTTCATATTTATGAAGCATAATGTGATGTTTTGTTCAATGCATACATTGTAGAAGATTTAATCTTCTACAATATATTTTAACATATATTTAATATATCGCCCAACTTGTTTTTATGGTAAGAATGCTACAAAATCTGTTCTTTTAGCAATTCTAAAATATATACTACATTATTATTAAATATGATCACCATGTAGTAGTTGGATCACTAAAACTTATTCTTCCAGTCTGAGACTTGGTACCCTTTGGCAAATATTCTCCCTTTCTTCATCCCTCTCCACAACCTTCTGTCTACTCTACCAAAAAAAATAATAAATTTCCTTGGATTTACATATAGTTTTTAAATGAGACAACTAATTCCAATTCCACTTAAAACAACTATATTCTAACAATGCTGACATCTACTAGATACTCTACCAGGAAAATAGCTTCAGCTTACTTGAGCTCAATTAAACTGTTAAAAACTGACAGTGCCACCATAAACAAAATAATAGAACACTTCAAAATTACCTTTTTATCCAACTTAAAGGGGTTGCCAAATGTATGCAATCTTCGAGGCTGATCAGGATCAAGTTCTCTTAGTGGAGAAGGTACTTGCTTGAGGTATTCCTGGTAATTCCCCATTTGTGCTATAGGAACACTATGCACTTGATCTTTTCAGAGAGAATATGCCAATAACAAAAATTAATCTCACTAAAATTACACTCCATCTAGCTACAAAATATATGAATACTACCTAGTGTTATTCTACATAGTCTTCTCTTACTACATTCTAAATTAGTTTGGTTTAATTATAATAACATGACAAAGTCTCTGAGATTTTTAAAGTCAAATTTAGAAAACTGATTTTACCTTTTAAGCAAAACAAAAACATTGTAGTTAATCTTAGTGCATAGAGAAAGCAGTACGTGTAACCTTGCTGTGAAAAGGTATCTCTTTTCTACCCTATTCCAAATAAACAAAGAATAAATAGATTTGTAGAAAAGTATAATATAGCAGAAAAGCCACATAGATATAAACCTATAGTTAAAATGCTTAAATCACAGATGACAGGGTTTAAAATTCTCATCTGACTTGATTTGTAGTAGATGACATAGATATAGCAAGTAACTATCAGAGCATAACATGCAATGCCAGAGTTAAACCATCACATACAAATATATCATAAAAAAAGACTGTCTTGAGTGTCTATGTGTACTGAACATATGAGGAAAGATAAAAAAAGGAAAAGAAAGTGTTAACAAAGGTTGTTACCTCTGGGGAATAGAATATGGGACAACAGTGACAGAAAGAAGGTAGAAATCAGGGATGACTCATCTTTTATTTTGTTTGAACTTACGATGAATATATAATACTTATACCAAATATTAAAAACCATAATCCAACCTTCATCCTGTCCTTTAAGAAATTTGCGGGTGCTCTTCAAAAGATTAGATCTCATTCTTGTTAAGTGATCCAAAAGATTTCGTCTTGGGATGTCATACGCATTTCTAAATGTCTGAGGCTTCAAATCCTATTGAAAAATATTAGGGACAAAATTTATTTCCAAACAGAATTCTAAGAGACTAAAATCTCTACCCTGCAGTGTAAGTTTAGAAATAAGTTGTTAACTAGTTGCTCTAAGAAAATAAAGACATGCTATGATACCACCTTAATGAACTGTTTTAAGATCAAAACATGGAAATTTGGTAGTGAGCTCATTATTTCAAATTCACATCTAACTCTAAAGATTCTTATTATATGTTCTGGGTAAGAGAAGTGAATTAATTTAAGTAAAACTAACTCTCAAATTTTAAAAATGGACAGGTTTTAAAAACATCCTGGATGTATAATTTATATACCATAAAATCACCTACATGATTTGATGAGTTAATTTATAGTTGTGAAATCATTACCACAACCCAGTTTTAAAACACTTTCACCATCCCAGAAAGTTCCTTATATCCATTTGTAGTCAATCCCCATTCCTATGACCAGGTAACCAGTCATCAGATGTCCTTTTTACAATCCAATTCATAAATGGAATGTTACGGTATCTAATTTTTTGGTGTCTGGTTTCTTTCACATATCAAGATGTTCTTAATATTTACTTTTTATTCCACAGTAGTATTTCATTTTATGGATATTCCACATCATTTTTACTTACTTTCTAGTACATACTTGGGTATAAATAATGCAACTATGAACTCTAGCATACAAAGCTTTTATTAGGTCATTTTTCTTGAGTAGATACCTACAAATAGAATTACTAACTATACAGAAAATACATGCTTAACATTTTAAGAAACCACAAATCATTTTCCATCAGCGATATGTAAGCACTCCAGTTGCTCTACAATTCTCACCAACACTTGATAGTTTTCAATCTTAAAATTTAAGTCAACTCTAGCAGGTATGAAGTGGTATCTCATTGTGGTTTTAGTTTGCATTTCCCTAACAGCTTATAAGGTAGTGTATCTACTCATGTGTATTTGTGTTTATATATCTTCTTTGGTACTAAGTCTGTCCAGTTACAATATTGTGCCTACTTTTATTAGGAGACGTTTATCTTTTTTAATTTTGAGTTGTACGAGTCATTTATTTACAAGTCCTTCTCTCTAGTCTGCAGCTTGCCTGTACATATTTTTACAGTTTTTGTTTTGTTTTGCTTTTTAACAGTGCTGGGTATCAAACACCTGGCCTTCTGCATGCTAGGCAAGCCTTATTCTATCACTGATCATCATCCCCAGCCCTGCCTGTTCATTTTTTTAATGTTTCTTTTAAAGATCAAGATATTTTAATTTTAATGACGTTCAATTTATCAAGGTTTTTGGGCTTGTGCTTTTTGTGTTACGTTTTAGAATCTTCATTAACTCAACATATTCTTATATTTTCTCTGTAAGTAAGGGTCAAATTCATTATTTTGCATATAGATATCCAATTGTTCTGGCATCTTTTAAGACTTTTTCACCAACTTGGTTATTTTAGCAGCTTGATTAACTAACTGACTATATGTGTGAGGACCTACTTCTAGACTCTATTTCATTCCTCTGTATGTTTATTGTTATATCAGTATCAAATTGTGATTACTGTAACTTTGCTCCAGGTTTTTAAATCAGATGGTTTAAGTATTCCAATTTAATTCTTCTTTTCCAAAATTGCTTTAGCTATTCCAGAACCTTTATAATTCCATTTAAGTTTTAGAATCAGTTGCCTATTTCTACAAAAAGGCCGCTGGGATGGAAATAGTTTTACTGATGAGTATATATGAAGCACTTTAAAATCATCCATGTAAGTACCTAACTATAGTGAAGTCTACCATCAAACTATGTAACTTCAGGCAGTCTACAAATCTGTTTCTGTCATCTATATAATGAATGAATTAGTTTACTCTTCATCAATCTACCCATTCACTCACATGCAATGCTTATTTTAATTAAAAAATTCAATGATAATATAATGACCATTGTCTGCAGAAGTGTACAAGTACTTTTTGAAGTCTGGACAAATAGATTTATAATTAACAGAAAATTTGATTTATTCAGTAATAGAACATAAGTAGTGTTAAAACTGACTATTACCTTATTTAGTAAAGCAACTTGGAACCCAGTGTATTCCTTCATATTAAGATCTAGCAGTCTGTGAGGAATGTCCTCAGAAATTCCCTGGAGCAGCTGTTGAAAATCTTTCCTATATGCCATTGATAAACCATGTGATCGGCTTCGGACTTTAATTCCGGTTTCCTGTACTACCTTTTTGCCTACAGATCCGATGACTCGATCAGATTCTATTTTGGCCTAAGATAAAAACAAACAACAGTTGTCTTTATATAATCTAAATTTATAGATCAAATATTAAAAGTTATAGTCTGCTATAAATTAAGTAGCTTATTGACTTTTAAAAGAAATTAAAATCTCAAATAAGCATAGTTTATGTCAAGTACTAGGTAAACTAGGCATAGTTTAAATAATAATGTCTTTATCATTTTAAATTATTACAAATCTAAACAAATAAACCTTCAATTAATTTTATCTAGGGTCATTTTACTTAAATCAAGAAGTATAAATGGTTCATAAATAAAACTATACTCCCAATTCAAAATTAGGGGAAAAAAAACTCATCAATATTTGCTTGACGACATCACTATTATCACAAAACTATACATTCATGGATATGGCAAATAGCGATACAACTCTTCACTGGAAAGTCAGTATCAATATTGTGATTTTTCCCAAAACTGCATTTCAATTAGTAGTTAAGACAGATGTGAAAAGTACTAAAAAAAAAAAATGTACTACATAGGATATCAATAATTTAGCAGAGCAAAACTGCATAGTGCTTGATGATCACTATTAATGTGGTTTATGGTCAGAATAACAAAATTCAGTGTTTTTACAAATACTTCACAAAATACTTCCATTTTGAAAAAAAAAAAACTGCAGGTTTCAAAACCTGAAGAAATTAGCTAAAACCATTCAAAAACTTTTAATGGCTCACATCTATTTTTGACATTACCTGTTGACTCAACTTTTTGAGGTATGAAATGACACTGTAACTGAGTCCATACTCCATACTGTCTGCTATTAGGTTAGGTGCTCCCATCATTCTAACGGCTTTCTTCAAGGGCTATAGGAAAAACAAAGGAAATAACATTCAAATGTAAGCTTGTTTAAGCTCCATGAATATACTGTTTTAAACCCTCCCCCCCCCCAAAACTTCCCCTTCTTTTCCTCAAAAAATGTAATATAATCATACTGGTATTTCAGTAAAATGTCAATGGCATGAAAAGCAATTTGAAATTGTTAAAAGCGACTAGAGGCCATAATAATATTCTACAAGGCAAGAAGAGTGAAATCTTGGACTTCCCAGTACCACTGGCAGATGTTCATTTGGAAGAAATATTAGACACATTATAGGCCACAATCTGGTAAAACTTGGGTAGTAAGTGAAAAGGACATTGAAAGAAAATAAACGATTTCTACCTTGGGTAGCTGGCTAGATTGTGGCTCCATCACTCACTAGCTATGTGGCCCAGGACCAAGTTATATAGCTTCTCTGTGACTTAGTTTCTCACTTGTAAAATAGGGATAATAACAGTCCCTACCCTTGTAGGACTGTCATGGGACTACATGGGTCAATACACATAATCACTTATGAAAGCATCTGGCATTCAATGGATTTTAATGTTTACTATTATTACCATTAGCTGAACTTAAAATGCAAACAAGCTCTGAAGAAAAAATAAGCAGGAGAAAAAGAACAGTCTAATATTTACAATGGATGTAGTATAGTGAAAAAACTCTCAGTTGTGAGGAGTTGGGAACCACTTTGTGCAATAAAAAATATAACTAGCAGAAGTGTCTAGCATATGTGAAAGAGACACAGCCAGAAAGAGACAGGTAACTATTGACATGTTAGAGAGTGTATAAGCACTGGTGTCACCTGGAATCCAATCCCAACTGTGATATTCAATGCCCATGCAGCTCTGGCTAAGTCCTAGGGGTTATGACGCATTTTTAAGTCAAATATGTTCCATTTCTTAATCAAAGTGCTTCTTCCTTTTCGCATGGCAGATAATGCATGCTAGACATTCAATATCTATCCTTATAACAATACAATGTTAGGATTTCCAAAGCTCAAGAAACCAAATCTTCTGATGATATTAGGGATCACTTAGAAAGATTAGTTACAGTCAAATGCTATATGGAATCTTCCTGCATCAAAAGCGGAAATAGGGGTTGGGGATATACCTCAGTGCTAGCACACTTACCTAATATATACAAGTCCCTAGGTTCAATCCCCACCATTTCAAAAAAAAAATTTTTTAAGCAAAAGTAGTACTTAAAAGTGGTTTTAATATGGCTTTTTGTTAAGAAGTTATTTTTTACAAATAAATAAATGTATTTAATAAAATGTTACTGGTCTAACCTACCATAAGTTTAGAAATAATTAAGTTATATAAAAACTTATGATTCTGTGGGAATATATACTTATTCATGGAAAAACGTTATTTCTGGAGATTTGGAAAATAATGCAACAAGAACTATCTTTTGCCCTTAAAGAGAAATAATCATAAAATTGGCATTTAAAAAAGTAGTTAAAAGATCACATTTTATAAAGTTGTACTGCTTTCAAAGCCAGATTAAATACCAGCACAACTCATTCCTCCAAATCACTTACTTTTAGGGCCTTTCCTTATTAGTGAACTAGGCACAAAAATTATTTCTACCTAATAGGGTGACTATACAAATTAAACAATATTAACACACATACAGTGTTTAGGACAGTACATGGTTTAGGGTAAGCAATATGTAAATGTTACTGTGGTAATCAACATTATTCTATAAATCACCGAAACCTATCTTTTATCATGGCACTGTATTAGTCATTTGAACACTCGATTTTCATGCTGTTAAATCTGTAATAGCAATAAATAAAAGTTTAAAATATCTATAATAAACTATAGAATAAAATTTCTTGTAGACTAGGTATGTAGCTCAATGGTAGAGTTCTTGCCTGGAAGCATAAATCCCTGGGTTTGTCCCCCCAATAATGGAGGAAAAGAAATCTGTTTAAACAATAATATTCTTACCCCAAGATAGTAGGGTGGCATGGTCTTCAAATAACTTTCAAATGACTGTCTCCATTTCAGTGTTGGTTTTGCTTTATGCACTTTGAACAAGTCATCTAGAAATATATATTGTGAACAACTACTGTCACATACTGTTTTCACACACAAAATCATATCTAAGAAATTCAGCTTTGAAGCCTGCTTTTTTATTTGACAGTAACATCAGCCATTAGGTTTTTCACAAAATTAAAAGGAATAAAGTTTCTAGTTTTAGTGTTTCCTACTTGTAATACCATTTTAAACGTGAAAAGGTACCAATCATAGTCTAAAAATTACATGTAATAATGAAGAAACTGCACAATATATAATCTTCCATTAAAATATACCAACTAATATTTTGACTAACTTTTAAATCTGATGGATTTCATGGAGGAAATGTACTCTAATAGTATACTTAAAAGACGACAGCCAAGAGCAGGGTGCTGGTGGCTCATACCTATACTCCTAGCTACTTAAGAGGCAGAGATCAGGAAGATTGCACTTCGAAGCCAGCCTGGGCAAATAGTTCACGAGACCCTATCTTGAGAAAACCCATCATACACACACACACACACACACAAATAGGCTGGTGAAGTGGCTCAAGGTATAGGCCCTGAGTACAAATCCCAGTACTGGAGGAAAAAACGACAGCCAGATTGTACCTAGAAACTAACTTTCTCATTACGCTTTGGAACACTTTAGGCTTTCTCATTACATTTTGAAACAAATTCCTTTGTTTAAAAAAAAAAGTTGCCAAATAAATATAAAGTTAGACAAAATCTTTAAAAATGCACTCAAATTTTGTGAATATGGCATGCTGTACCAAATGTTTTATGCACCAAATAGAAAGCCTGCATTATGAATCCTAACTATGTAAGAAATCTTTACTTATAGAAAAATTGAATATTTAATTAAAAATTGTAAAATATACTTTTATTAGTTTCTAGAACAGAGGTGTTTCAACAGACATTCAATTCATAAGTAAGTTTGTTGTAAAACTTTCTTAAGTAGGCCTAATATTTTAAAATATTGAAAGCATTTCATTATTTTCAAAATACAAGAAAAATTACAAAGGTACATTCCCAAAGTTTGCCCTTAGGAGAATTTTTATATATGCTGAGCAAAAAAGAACATGACAAAACAACTTACCTAAAAGGGGAAGGAGGACTGGATAATTGTAAGGCATCACAAATAAGTTGACACAGTTCAGTGCTGTACTAGCTTTCAAGTAACCAAAGGGATAACCAAGTTCACTATACTTTGCACTATTGCTTACATATACCTGTTAAAAAGGAGTGGTTAAAATTTCAAAGACTGTTATGCAAACCAGTGATTCAAATTCAACTTCTTAAGAAGCATTTCATTTATATTTTTTTTATTCACTATAGTTTTTCAGCTCACCTGCCAACATGTTTGAGGAGATTTCCTTTCCAGAATAAATTGAGTCAGTGGTGAAGGTTCCAACTCATATTTGTCAAAAGGCAGTTTGTCAATAACCATAGGTTCACAGTCTGTACAGGAAAACTTCACTACAGGATGAGATGTACGAGGTGGCTACAGGGGAAAGTTGTTTTATTTTCATTTACCCAAAATACCAGAAACAAACTACCTTTAAATATCTTTCCCTTTGAAAATAGTCAGTTCTTCAGTTTTGCTAATGTGTTTGATTTACTACTAAGAGCAGCATACGGCTGAAAGAAAACAGTTAAGGATATAATGCTTAAATTATGTAATATTTGTAAGAAAAAGACAAAACTACAAAATCCACATAAAATGAAAATCTTTTTAGGTCTTAACATCAAATTTATCAGAAGTTAAATGCAAAATTTTGAAACTAAGTATTAATTTCTATAGCCAAGAAACAAGAAATATATGGAAATCTCAAATTCCCATTTATAGCCATTTAATTCTTATGCAGAGCAGTGACTTCTGATCATATACCTGGAACAGTTTTTGAATGTTAAACTCAGACACATATATTTAAGTTATTAATATAGATGTATATAATAAAATATGTAATAGGAGAAAATCCAAGCATAAATAGAAGTTCTAATGTTTCTTTCCCTACTTCCCAATGAATTGTTTTGGTTATCCCTGTAGTATACATAGCCTACTTTGGAGATTTCTGTCCTACAGATATAAAAAGCACAGTATTTTAAAAATAAAGGTATGTTACCTCACCAACTGTGAAGAAAATATGAGATTTAGGGAATTAGTTTGAGGTTTCACAGACACAAAACACTCTATTGTCCTCAGATACTACTTACAGCCTAGCTGCTCCCAAATCTACAGTGTGGGACCAGGTATATCTGCCTTTCCTCCACCATGATTTGCAGATCTGTGCTAAGCTATGCTGACTACCTGTAGGTCATCCTATTTCATAGCCTATATTTCACATGTCAACCCTAATTGATTTGGCACCCCCCATCACAGTTAACACACTGTAGTCTATGATGTGTACATGCCTGACCTGCCCATAGAATAGTAATGTAGGATAGGTACAGTCTTCATAATTGTGTGTTCCTGTGCCTGGCTGCATCTGATACATGGCTTGTTGAAACATTTATTTTTGGATGAAAATATTTTATCCAAATATTTGAAGTTTAAATGAAGGCTTAGAAAATAATTCTGATAGTCTGTTTTCAATCTTTCAGGTGATAGTTAGACAATTTTTTTGTCTTTTCTAAGAGGAAACTAGAGCGAAAATCCTCTAGAACTTGGAAAATAAATTTTTATATGTATTTTATTTAATCCCCAAAATAATCCTATGAAGATGGGAAACTGAGGCCTACAGAAGATAATTAAACAAAGAAACACAGCTATGATCTCAAATTCAGATACATTTTCTAATAAATCACACTGAATTTCAGTAACACTAGTTGATTGAAGCAGTTATAACTTATTCATTTCCTCTCTAATATGCCTATTACTAAATTTTACCAGTTCTTTCCAATGTTATCTTTCTGATTTTTCTCTTCTCTCACCTTAAGTTCAAACTCTTAGTAAATCTGAAGTGAACCATATCAATCGTCCTATAGATAATCTACCTGTCTTCCAACAAAACTTACCTCTTCTAATTCTGCTGCAGCTAACAAACACCAAATTATTTTCCTAAAGTGGCACTCTATTAAATGCATCTTCAATTGTACTCTGAACTGCACTATAAAAAAGCTCATACTCCTTAACCTTGCATTTAAAATCATGAACAGTCTGATTTATTAATAGTATTTCCAATGTCCCACATATATGTAGAACATCTCAGCTACTACCTGTCACTTCTCTAAATATACCTTTTTTCTACTTCCATACTTTTTTTCTCATTCTATTTCTTCTTCCAATTAAAATTCTACATGGAAATGGCTGCAACAATTTGCAGAGACCACCAAAGCAATATTAATATGTAAGGCTCATGACATTAATTTTGGTTTCTTTCCCATTAAGACCTAACAAGTTCCACTTGTACTACTGTAGGCATTAAATACAGTAAAATGAACAATAAATACAGTAAAATAACCAAGATAATATTTCACAAAAGTACGCATGGTAATAGTTGGAAGAGCTTCAGAAATGAAAGTAAAAATGCCAAAGAAATCGGAAGCTTCTCTAAGGGCAGACTAAAACACTGAATAACCGTAAAAAGAAATAAAGCTCAAGATACCTCAAAGAGAATTATCAAATTTTAATTTTATCAAGTCCTTGTGAATAAATACTTTTACTAATAGACTCCAATTTACAGAGCTCGTATAGACTCTTAAGTAAAAATAATCCTGAAAGCCCGATACAGGTTTAAAGTACAAAAGGAAGGTGGGCATGATGACGCACCTACAAAACCCAGCACTTGGAAAGCTGAGACAGGGAGACTGAGTTTAAGGACAGCCTGAGCTACATAGTGAGTTTGAGGTCACCCTGAGCTATGGCTCAAGACCCTATCTACAAAAAGAAAAAAGGAAAAAGAAGTAAAATTCCTTCCACCGCCCCCCTCCCAAAAACAAGCCTTAAGTACTAAGGGTTTCAAAAAAGTTCAGTTTAACTCATAAATGGCAGTTGTAAGAAACATTACTAAAGACTGCATAGTGAATCTCTGAAATACAACTTCTATCCTCTGCCTTTACACAAAAAACGACTGTAGTGTTCTCCTACAGAATATCCCTTGGTGTCCTCAAGATGTTAGAGAAAGAAAAGAAAAAATGAAACTGAAAAAAAAAAAAGTACACTAACAAGACTGATATTATTGTGTATGAACTTATCCTATTATTATAAAAACCATATAATGAACTGATAATGCACCATCATTCAACAAGCCTCCCTGTTCCTAAAAATAATTCTTGTACATAAGACCAGAATATCTTTTCTTCTTTAAACCTCAAGGCTACACACTGAATAAAACTGAAACCATGCAAGTCAATATGAATTTCTGAGACTATCGGAATCAAGCCTTCATTTAAATTTCAAACTGTATCTTGGAGACAAATCTTCATGCTATATTATATGTAAAAGTCCAAAACAGGAAATCTTACTTCATTTATGATTCTGCATCCAGATGCCAATAATGAAAATGTAACCACAACATTGTATTTAAAGGAAACAGATGCCTTTGTTCTATTGCTTTATAACGAACAATACAGTAATGCAAGTAATAGCTTATCACAGCACTTTAAACACCTGTCTAATTCCTACAACAAGCCATACCTTTAACTAACAATAGTACTTAAAAACTAATATGAAAGGCAACTAAATGTTTACTATTACATAGCCACAGTCCCTTTGATACTTACTAGTGTTGGAGAATTTTGATCTGGCCAGAAAGATTCTGGAACAGGCCAATGGCCTATAGGAACCCCAGTTTTAGGATTTGGTCTGACATATATGAGTTTGTGACAGCTATGCCAAGGCTGAGATCCAAAAGGCCTTGATATATCTGGCTGCCCATCTATAGCAAAGAAATTAAGACAAAGAAAGCATGTATCATTAGGGGAAAAACACAGAAAGTTAAATTATATCCATTACTGCTTAACTTAATAAAAATATTCTAATACTTCTTCATTTCTTTATGCTCTTTTTTCTTAAATGGCAGAATATTGTAATAGCTTAACACTTAGATTAGACTATAACTCACTAGACAGTAATGTCTGTAAATTTCAACTATGAGTCCACCATTTGAAAGAAGGTCCCACAGCATCCTTTGCTTGCCCAAACAGAACATACAAAACATTCTTTTATCTGTTTAATGAATGATATACTTTCACTCCAGATTAGGTAAGAGCAAGCACCCAGTTTGCTTTCTTCATCATCATATCCCCAGTGTCAAAAACAGTGCCAGGTATACAATAAATACTATTTAAGTGTTGCTAATTAAGTATTTCTTAGGCTGGGGCTATAGCTCAGTGCAGAGTGCTTGCCTAGCATGTACAAGACCCTGGGTTCAATTCCTAGCACCTAACAACAACCAAAAAAACCTTTAATATGTAAATCTAGATCCAAAGCACTTATCTTTAATCCAAAATAATTCTAGCAAAACAGCAACTCTAGCAATTCTCTTCAATAATTCAGAAAATATTTATTAAGGGTCTAAGCCTAAGCCAAGCATTAAAATAATTTTAAGATTAATACAATCTAACAATTAATTTTTAAACTTTGATTTTTTTAAAACCACAGAATGATAGTTTTGTCTTATCATCTTCTGCTCCTTCCCTAACATACCTTCTGAATGTACCCATTCCTTCACCTCTGTGACCTTTCTCTTCTTCCACTTATCCCCGCTACAAGATCATCTCTGCCAAGTATCAGTAATGACTAATTCTTAAAGTATATTGTACAACGAAAAGGGTTCTAGTATAGTTCCTCAGACACACTGACTACTGCAAATAATTAATGATCAGAAATCTGGTAATAGAACCAGTTGGAACTGAGCTAGAATTTTAAAAGAACCAAGCTTAATGGCAAAAGCAGGTTCTTCATTTTTGGACCCTCACAAAGCACTATGTTCTGATCAGTTTGGTCCTTGGAATAAAAGTAGCTAAGGAATTAAATGAATACTTAGGGTTGAACACTGAGAATTAAGGGACATGAGAAAAGCAAATATATATGAGAGAGGCAATGCTATAATACTAAAAAGAAAATACATGTTTGCTTATCTATAAATGCTTAAAAAGGTATTTGACTCTTATTAAAATGCCAGGCTATCAACAATCATTAAAATAAAAAGGTGATGCTTCTGAACCATTAGTTTTATCTTGACTTTCCTATTTATCTTCCCTTCTTTACCAATAGCAGTTTTGTCAAATTATTAAGATTTGGCCTTGCTGATCTTAAGGCCAATTTATAGAAAATTTTCAGTTCTATTTCAATAATTGATAAAGCAAGTTTAGAATGTCTATAAGAAAAGTACAATAATACCTTCTACAGGGGAAGGATCTGGTCCTGCTTTCTCAAAGTTTATTACCACCCCACTTTGTACTTTCTGCACCAAGGACTCCAGACACTGATTAAGCATTCTTGGAGAACATACAGAGTATGAACGGCCTAAGATAAAAAA